TGACTACTGCTCTAGAGCATCTATTATTGCCACTATTGGAAACAAGCTACTGAACTAGCTAGGCTGCTGCTCTAACCTAGAATGGCACTTCTTTTAATACCTGTGACCCACAGGGACCCACCCTGAGCACTAGATCTCTGTGAATTTCCCTGTAGAATCTTAATTTCACTTGGAATCCAATTTCCTATGTAACCCCCAAAGACTACTTGTGTGTATGGGATCCAGGGCTGAACACCATCTCAAACACACTAGGCCTGATAAATATGGGAGAAGGGCCCAGATCAGCTTCATGTAGAATCCACAAAGGTTCTTTATCCATTCACCACATCAGATGTATCCAGTAGCCCTGGGTGGGATCTGAGTGGCTCTGGCAGTCCTCAGCAAAATCACCCCCATGGGCTTTCCCTTTCCTGGGAAGGTAGGGCACACTCTCTCACTCCTAGTGCCATCACCCACCTCCTCTTCCTCCTCTGCAGATCGCTTCTCTGTGTGTCGATCCTGCTCTTGCCCATTCTCATCTCCATCTAAACATAAGCAAAAACTATGGGTTAAAAGAGGCAATAATCAAGAGAACCCAACCATACTGTGAATTCAGGAGAGGAAGGAAGGGGACTGTTACATTGCAAGGTCATTCATTCCTCTCAGCTTCCCATACACAACTCCCACCTTCGTCCTCTTCTCCTCCTTCTTCATCATCGACATCCTCAGGACTCTCTTCCTCCTCTTCCTCAGCTCCATTCTCCTCATCCTGAGTAAGACAAAAAAAAATGGTTCTTACTCACTCTCCCGCTACCTTCCTCTTAACAGACCTAGCTATTTCAAAGACCCCTCTCTCTCATGCAGGTGCCACACTTGCATCAAGACTGCAATCCATATATGCAGATGATTGAAGGCAAACCAGAAACCTAACACGGAAGCTCCAAACACTGGGCACCTTTGATGCATGGGGCAGCGCTGGTGGCTGTGCCACTAGTGGCAGCAGCATGGCCAGCCACCAGCTGCAGCAGGACCTGTTTTTGCATACCTGCTTCCCTCAAAAGGTGGTACCTGGGACTGCTACCTTGGTTGCCCTACTTCAGTTATACTACTGGTTCCAGCCATATCAGCAGGCCTGCGCTACCAAAACCCTCCTTGCCAAGCACTGCTGTCTCCCCATGCAACCCACTTTCTCACCATTCCCCAGTCCACTGCACCATCACGTATCTCCCTGACCTGCCCCCAGCCTCTACCACCCCATCTTCACTGACCTGCCCATCCTGCCCATGCTTCCCCTGCCACCTGCCTCCCTTTCATCTCCCTTCTCAACATGCATCCTCTGTCATCTGGCTCCCTTAGCACTAAAACCCCCTAGATTCCCACAGAACTATATCACCCACATAACTTCTGGTCTCGCTCTATTATTACACAGACCACCCTACTGCCTGAAACCCTCTTGAAATCCCCAAACTGTTCTTCTTCCTTCTCAATCTCTACAGTAGTGATTCTCAACCAGGGTGCCATGGCACCCTAGGTTGCCATGAGATCCTTTTAAGGGTGCTGCTCAATATTATCATTGTTAGGTGCGCAAACACCTAGGCATGATTCACAAGATAAACCCAGAGATTTCAAATAGGAATCCATAGTGTCAAAAACATTTTGACCCATTTTTTTTCTGAGTTCCTTGCAACAGAAGAATTTCTCTATAATTGCTCCCCACAGTCAAGAAACAACAGAAGGTAAGAGCTGTTTTTTTCTAACAGGTGCCTTGAGGTTGTAAACTACTGCTTTACAAGGTAGTTCCCTTGCACCTTTTTCCATCTGCTATTTCCCCAACCTGGACCAGGCTCTGCACTCCCCCTTCTTCATCCATACCATCTCCTGTTCACCGGCACCCTTTTCTGCCATCTACCTTCTCCTTGCTCCCTGGCCTATATCTCTGATGGTCCTTCTCCTCCTCCTGGTTTGTACTAACCATGCATCCCATCTCCAAAACTCCCTCACCTAACTGGCATTCAGCTGCCACCTGCCTCCCTCCTAAACTGCAGTAGCCTGCCCTTCTCCTATATTCCTTCTTTCTGTCCCAAGCTACCCCTCCCATGCCAACTGCCTCTCTTACTGCCAAAATCCTCCTCCAAACACGCATCCCAAAGAGAGACTACATTTGGCCTCACCTCTACTACTTCTTTCTTCTTTTCTTTGTGAATAGATTTCTCCTCCAATTTTTCCTTCTTTTCTTTCAGGTCCTAAATATAGAATGAAAAAAAATCATTCCAAGATTTGATACCTGGACACACAGCACATTGGCACAGATACTATTTATATCAGTTGTGTATGCCAATGGAAATTACACCAAGGAGTGTGGTTCCACCAAGATGCTTCAGGGAATATACTTATATTCAAGTATCCAAAGCCACCAGTTTATCCCAAGGTTGCTGCCTGCACCTCCCCACCAGGTGGAAGGAGAGCAGCAGTAGTCTGTTCATAGCAAAGGGATAAGAAAGATAGCTTTCTACTACACAATACTGAAGCCACTATAATTTATGGCAGCATTGTTTTAATCCTATTTTTTCCCCCAAGATAATTCTACACTGGATTCAAGTATATTACAACAGCATAAGGCTGTATGTCATTATATGTGCTGCTTGGTTACACCAATGTGCCTAAACCCACAGTGGCAAAGAGAATGAAAGGATGAGACTGTTAAAGTTGAAAGCAATGAGGAACAAGAGAGGACATGGCAAAATAAAGAAGTAAACAAACAAACAAACAAAAAATAACAATTAGGACATTGGGGCCATCCTCTCAATTAGACAGAGGGACAGACAAGGAAAAGGAAAAGCAGCAGATTTAAACCTGAGGAATGGAAACGTTTCACGTAGAACCCACAATTGGCAAGTAAGACCTAATCCCCATACGATACTACACAGAGACCAAGAGATTTTTTAAAGTGGATCAGACACATACGGAAAACAACAAAAATCTAGAAGTTATATTTAGACAGGAGAAACTTTAAGATGGTCGTAATAAAACACAAATTCCAGGGCTGGACAAATAAGCCAACCATTAGGAGGAAAACGGCAACCCCTGTTGGAACCGATGCCATAACTGTCCACCAGGGGGGTCCCGCCGCCTCCCCAGGCTGCCCATGGCCAGAGCCCGGACTCCGGCCGCAGGACGTAGTGGGCTGGTCCTATCAGGCCATTCCTGTCACCCGCCGTGCGGTCTTTGCCAGAGAAACTTCCCCGCCCCCGCCACAGAACAAACCCTTGCTCCAGTACCAAGTTCAGGGCAGTGTCCCTCGCAGAGGGGAGGGCAGGATCAGCTCTAGTGTCCTCTGTCTGACGGGAAAAGCCCCCTCTACCCTCATCTCATTCCCCAGCCCTGGGAGCAAACCCCCTCCCCGCAGAGCAAGCCCCGCAGCCCTGTCCCCGCCTCGAAGCGCGGGGACCCCAGGTTTTCTCTGTTGGGAAAACACCTTCCCAAGCTCCACTGTCTTTGGGGAGCATGCTCCAGGCCAGCAAGGAGTTCACACACACGGGGCAGCGTTTTGGGGGAGAGCGGAGCAACTCAGCCCCTGACCTACTCGGGCTAGCAAGAAAGACCCGAGCGGTTAACACAAGTTCCCCAGGGTCTTTCCCGCCCGCCCCCAGGCGGGCCCCGCCTTTGTCCCGCGCCGGCGGGAGAACGTCTGTCAGGCACAATGGCCCCATCTGCTCCCTGCATCCGCTCTGCCCCGCGCTCCTCCCCTCTCCCTCCCCCGCCGGTTCCCAGAAAAACAGCTCAAA